TATATATAGTGCTTAATGCCAACAAGGCCTCTAAGCGCTTCACATTACTACCCCCGGTCATTGGATTGTTGAACCACCCCCATTATCTCAGTTGTATATTATAGTTGTTTCTTATCATATTTGTAGAGTCTCCTGATGAAGTCCACTGTGTGGACAAAAGATAGAAAATAAATTCTCAAAAGTGCTGCTGTTATTTACTTTATTTTTTATTTATTTATTTATTTAGGTATAAACATGTAAAAAACAATTACAAAATGGCAGCCGAAGCTGAAATGGTTTGCATCACAAAACATATTCACAAAAAATTATTTACAAATGCAAAACAGCAAAATACAAAAGCTAAGAAACATTATAAATAAAAATTCATTACAAAAAACAAAAAAGTTCAAATTATCATCAATTATAAAAAATACAAAAGGTCACTTTATTATCATTATCATTAAATTTTAGTTGCCAAAGTTTAAATTATATTTGTACAGTAAAATATTGCACATTTCCTGTTATCGGTATTCTTTTTTACATTGTTCATTATTACTACAGTATGTCATTAATACACAACTATATTTCTTAAATGGTTATGTTGTTTACATAATATGTACATGTTTTGATGTTAAGATTCTACACATCCATTTTATAGCTCCTTTTCCTTTAACAGGTCTGGGATCCAATTAAATGTTATAAGTACGAAAAGAAATCACCATAAGAACTCTTTCCTGTCTGATGCCATTCAGACATTAACACCAAGGTGGTAAGGTGATAGGGATGGCAAATATACCATACATGTTATGACTAAAATTATTAATAAGCAGATTAACAATAACTTATAAGTACGTAAGTTTTTGTGGTTTTTTTTATTATATTTATTTTGCTGGGGGACAGCAAATTTCTGCATGTATTGTATATGGACAAATAATATATCTGATATCTGTATCATGTTTCATGTGATATTGATTGTATATACCACAATATTAATTAACCAGTGTGTTTATACCTGTAAGCTCAATGATAGTAAAGCATTCTTTAATAAATTCTTTCAGTAATGGCTTTGATTATATGTTATAAGTAATACAATAATGGATACAATACATTTGGTGGTAGGAGCTTAGCCCCAAACTATGGTGAAAATATGGACATCTAGATGCAAGGAAATTGTACACACATACCTTTAAAATCTTACAGGTAATTCATCAACATTACAATACAATAAAACAATTATTCTTTTTTAACAATTTAGGGGATGTGATCGCACTGTCTGTAACCCCTTTTAAATGAAGATATTACCTAAAATAACAAAGTCTGCAAGTACAGTAAGCCCATTGGTAGGAATGCAAATTCTATGAAGAAAATTATCAAATTTCTAAGAACTAACAGGAAATAATTAGATGACGTTCATCCTTTTTTCAAAGAGATCTAAAAATGAGGAAGACTTCTCAATTCACACAACTAAACATAAAACCCTTTACCTCCAAGTGGTATCAGTCTCCAAAATACTGATCATAATAAAAATTCAAGGTTTATACCGGATCAGGTTAAAACTCAAAGCACTTAATAAAAAGTGTCGGAGAAAAATTACAGAATACTTTGAACCTAAAATATAAGGTAAGTTTAAAAAATATTTATTGTTAGTTTCATATTCAGAATTTGGAATGGTTTTTCCGGTGAAACTCAATGAGAGTGGGAACTTGAAACTAAAGATTAATTTCATTTGGCCTAAACCTTTTTTATAGAATGTTTTCATGAACTTTTTTCTGCACTTTTTAAAACAACACAAGTTTATAAAAAGTATAATAAAAATTATAATAGTATAATAACATTATTAATGAATAAGTTACCAATACTTTTGTGCTTCAGACCATCTAGTTTATTTTGAAACAGCGCCGCTAACGTCTCGTAACTTACTGGGGGACTTTAAGACTTCTATTTGTTTTTTAATATAAACATTTCATGTTTTGTCCATTTTAAAGTATTTGTGCTTGTTAGTTTAGTTTTATCATTAATTTAATCCATGATGGTAAGTACGTAGAGTGAAAAGCTAGGCCTCTGAAAGTCCCCCAGTAGTAGTTGCCAGGTTATCGGAAATTTTCAATTATAATTTTGCGAAAATGGTCTATATAAAAATAATGCTCATTATGAGACTTAGTCCTATTGTTTCGTTTGCTAAAGTGTCAACGTAATCAAGTTATGTCAATGACTATCAAATATTCTGTTAGCAGAATGGTTAAAATTGATAATAACTATTCTGACCAAGAATATTGGTTTAAAACCAATATGAAATATCATATAAAATAATAGAAACATTTATAAAACTAATAATTGATATTATTTTTCAATACTATAGACAATGTTTTCATGCGAGGACAGAAATGTTTCAACCATGAAACCAGCCAGTGTTGGTTACAATGCTTCAACTTACCTTCTGACGGTTATTGGAATTTTTGCAAATTTGACGGTGGTCATTGTGTTTATCAACTGCAAGATTTATCGCAGGTCATTTACGTATCTCCTAGTGTTTCAACAATCTATTTTCGACATGATATCATGTTTCCTCTATCCATGTTTTTACTATATTTTTTCCCCTAATGGGAATTTTGCCAACTACTGCAAGTTTGAAACACTTTTTTTCTTCTTTTTATCTGCCTCAACGCTAAACCTAGTCTTCATTTCTGTTGAGAGGTACATTGCAGTGGTGCATCCGTTGAAGTACTGGATAAGAGGTAACCAGAAGAAAAGTGTTTTACCACAGTTATGTATTCCACTTGTAGCGGCATTTCTAATAACATTTCAATATGTGTTCATAATTGAAGAAGATCCGGAAGAACCCGGAAAATGTACCTTTTGTTACAAAAACAAAGGCTTTGAGATATTGTCAGGTACAATTTTATTGCTGGCAAATTGGATAATTCCAATTTCCACTATGACATTTTGCTACTATCGTGTATATATCACACTCAAGAAACAAAAAAAAATTCAAGCAGAATTAACAAATCGAGGGCATATAAATAATGCTAGCAGGGCAATAAATTATCACAATAATGATGAATTAGCTGTTGAGATAAATATTTCGCCATCGCAAACAAATCAGAAAGAAAAGGCAAAGAATCAACGAAATTTCATCATCACTATGTCTATTAACACACTGGTCTTTACAATCTGTGTTACTCCAGTGATTGGGGTATATCTTGTTTACACAATATGCAAATGTTTTGATATTAATTATCATATTTCGAGTGATATTGCTACATTGCTTGTTGTTTTCAACATGGTAGCGAACCCGTTTATTTATGCCTACAAACTCTTTGATTTTAAGGAGGGCTTCTCAAAAACATTCTGTCGTCAATGTTAGAGACCATAATATTATCATATTAATGTTGTAGGGGTTTAATCATGACAGAGGTTGAAATATCAATTTAACTTTTCAGAAAATTACAGAATTAAAGATTTTTTATGAGTATTTAATCAATTATGGTTTTAGTATACCAAATAAAAATGTGAAATAAACATAAAATTTACAATAAATTTATCATTTGATGACTCACTACAATATAACGTACTCGCACGAATAAGTCCCCGTTTGAATAAGTACTCCTCACGAATAACCGCCCCTCATAACATGAAAATTTCCGTAAGCGCCCCATTTGAATAAGTGCTCCTTCTAATTTAAATAAGTGCCTCCTCATAAGATTTTTTTTTTGGCAAGTCAATAATCCAATCAATCCTGGGACTGTGGTTGTTGGCATGATTTGAGCTGTAGAGTGGAAACACATTCTTCTTCAGTCAATATCAAAATAAGGATATTTCTCTTGGATAGATGACAGCTCCGATCCCTGGACAGACAGTATATTTCCAACTTTACCCTTTTCACACTATTTGTCTATGCCTAGTCCTATAACTCCTCTTCTTCTTTTTCCGACCTTTAGCACATTCTCATCTGAGTTTTCAAGAAAAAAATACAACGATCCTGCCATCCTGCTAATCTCTATCGGCCGATGGCCAACAAGCTACCGCTACCTACCACCACTAATTGCATCTGCTATTTTGCATTTATGTAAATTCACGCATTTTTGTCATGTGCAATGTTCTCTGGACAATTATCTTTTCTAATCACCATTCGTAATGTCCTTACATAATCTTTTTTCATTCAAAAGGTGCCTCTTGAATTTAATAATTTCCCATAAGAACCCCTCGATTTTCTTCTTATTTCCATAAGCGCCCCCTCAATTTTCACTTTATTTTCATAAGCGCCTTGTTTTAATAAGCGCAAAAAATATTTTAAGCGCTTATTCAAGCGAGTACGGTATAAGTATATGTTAATAAATTAGTTTATTTAGAAATTAAAGATGTAGTTAAGCATGCATAAATTAAAGATGTAGCTAAGTATTCAGAAACTAAAGATATATTGCTGTTTTGAGCAAAAGAATTGTCCTTCCTGTTGTTTATTATACTATGCTTGTGCAGATAATTATATTTGTAGTATTTGTTTATATATTAGGTAAGGAAAGAGGCATTAGTCTTACTTTTATAGTTTAAGGAAATAGATTCATTCTGAATTAATAATTATTTATTTCCTATTAGTTTTACTGTGGTTAAAATTGATGAATTTTAATTAATTATATGTATAGTATTTTATATATTAGGTTAAGATTTACATTTTTAGTTCAAGGAAATAGATTCATACTGGATTAATAATAATTTATTTCCTGTAAGTTTTATTGTTGTTAAAATTAATAGAATTTATTATATTCAAGAAGAATTTCAATTCATTACAAATACTGTTTGATACTAAAATGAAGTAATTATATATATAGACCACATTACTTTAGTCCCACATTGACAAATTTCTTTTATCTTTATTATTCTAATTAAAGATCAAAGCTGCTAAAGCAAAAAAAGGCCCGTAGGGAATTAAAAGCACTAACAAAACAAAAATACAACTTATATTTAGTAAAAATTTCACAAGAATTAAAAACTAATTCTAAACGTTTTTGGTCATGGATGCGCAGTAAGCGAAAGTCTGCAAGCATGCCACCGTGTGTTAAATTGAACAACACGAGCGCGTTTATGGCCCAGGCTAAATCTAATCTTTTTAATGAACACTTTTCTTCTTTTTTTAGTGACGCTGAATGTCCGCCGGACAGCTTTCAGGATCTTCCTGAGGTGCCTGTGGGTATCATCGATACTGTACCCATCAATTTCTCTGATATCAGTACTCAACTCGGCTCTGTGAAGCAGCATAAGGCCTCAGGATGGGACCCTATTAGTAACATCGTCCTTAGGTCTTGTTCTGAATCATTATCTATTCCACTTTGTAATATATTCACCAAATCCCTTGAGTCTGGCATTTTCCCTACATACTGGAAACGTTCTAACATTGTACCAATACATAAGAAAGGGCCTAAGGACGATGTTAACAATTATCGACCTGTCTCACTGCTGCCTACCATCTCTAAAATAATGGAGCGCATCGTTTTTAATTCTATTTATCCTCGCATTGCTCCTTACATTGTGGATCAGTTTTGCCGTGTTAATGTATGTAAAAATGGATTTATTTCGCGTCTGTCTAGCTTATATAATGATTTTGTTGCCAAATGTCCTGATGTTGATATATTTTCTAATTCTTTATATGTATTTAAATGTCATTTAAATAATTATCTTACGTAATTTTTATGTGTTTAATCGATGTAATATTTAACTCTACAATGTTTTAATAATTTGATGAATTTTAAATATTTTATATTTTTATATTGTACATAGAAATATTTTACTACAATCTTCGCCTGTAAGTGGGACCTTCTTGGTCCTGTTGGACGATTGAATAAATAAAAAAAATAAAAAAATAAAGACCACTCAAATCCCAGTCCCAATGTGGTCTTTAAACGTCTGTAGGGCAATAAGCTGGCTAAGTTTGCTGAGATTTCTCGAGCTGTAAAAATGTATTACAAGTCCATATTGCTTTAGATTTTATGTGAATTTTGTGTACTGTAATCAAAATAATGTTAATCATTGAGACTCAAAACTTTGGTTTAGACCTCAAATTACCTGGGGCTACAAATACTAACATCTAACTTCCTCATTACTTTAATGTAGGTCTGTTATTATGCTTCAATTAAAGACATCTTGGTGATGAATTGTTAAATATAATACTTCTTATCACAAAATCAATACCAAATATGCATTGTAAAAGTCACCAAAAATAATCATGTTTCATGTGATGTTAAATTTATACCAAAAGTTACACTGACTGCTCAAATGAAATAAAACAAAAGTGACTCCAAATAGATGGACTCACATTCTCTATTTGGGGTCACTTTGGTTTCATTTTAAATTATATATAGCCATATCAAAACATAGCACTTAACTTGTGTGTTTATGCCTGTAAGCTCAATGAATAAGGATTCTATTAATTTCTGTCTTTGATGTTAGAGACTATCATTTTAGGTAATGGTATTGATTATGTTATAAATAATAAGAAATAGGTAGAGCTCCGCATTGTACACTATAGGAAAATTATTATACAGAGGTTAGATTTAATGCTTGAAAAAATTTTGAAAAAATGCGCAGCCAATCAAGAGCTCAGGAAGCGAACCAACGCTTTCAATTCACACAAATTTGCCTAATGGAAAACAGGCTTGAAGTACTAGTTGAGCAATTCACATAGAAACAATTTCCTTACTTTGCTTACTTCTAACTCATCTGAATGTGCCTAACACTAATATCAGATAATGTTTAAATTCAAGGTGGTTAACTAAATTTGAAACATTGTCTTTATTTCATCAGAGCATGATCCAATCCATCATTTTCTTCAGCTTCATTCTCTGAACGAAGAGAATGTAGCCAAAATAACAAAGGCTGCTAGTAAAACCATTGGTAGAAATGCACATCCCAAAACAAGGAAAAGGTTGAAATTTCTAAAAGAACTACAACAGGATATAATGAGCAAGGACACTCATTCTGTATTTAAAGAAACCAATACTTCCTTGAACAAAATAACATAAAACCACTTTCACCCCAAGTGCTGTCTTCACAATGGTACTGATAATAGCTCAAGTTAAAACAACTCAAAGCAGTTCATAAAAAAAAAGGATTGAATATTGTAAACCTAAAATATCAGGTAAGTTTTAAAAATGTACACAGGCCAGTAATGTATTATGTTTTTAATATATTTGAATCCACAAGTTAGCCATTACAAAGCACACCGTAACACTAGCCTAGTATTCCCTTACACTGCATGAATAGGGTACGGTATTTGGGTCAAGCCATCTTTTTGGTATGGTAGAAATTGTGTTTACTGCCTGAAATTATTGAAATCTTGAAATGGATGAATTTGATTTCTTTTGACTATATATAATTGTTATGTTTCCTTCATACATACAAAACAACATACTGTACTGTAAATGTATAAAAACCAAATTCCTCTAGTTGTATACTGCATCCTGTATTAAACTTGATTGTGGCTTGAAACCGGCTGCTCAATACATTTGTTCTCTGTGAATATTCAGACCACTTTTCTGACTACATTTGTAAAACGAAACAATTTAAGAAGTCACCTATACACATAATAGTGTTAAATAATACGTGGGCATTTTGACCTGTTATTTTAAACTTTTAAACTTCCTGGATTTTAGATTTTAAAAACTATTTATATCTATTTTTGTATTGTTTTATGACTTTCATCACACTGTAAGACTGCGGTTTCAGCTCTGGCTGGTAGTATACCGTATGTCATTTTGTGGATGAAATAAAAACATATTTAAAATCACCGCTGCTCCCACCAACATCATTTATTATTTACAATTAAGACCATGAATATTAGTTTGATTGATTGAATTTATTTGATTTCTCTCTATACAATACATAAGATGCATAGTAAAAAACAAGTCACTTAAAACTATAAATATACAGGATACAATACGAGAAAAATCTGGATATCCCATTAAACTATAAAGTTTTTTTTCCCAAGGGGGTCCACAAAAAACATATTAAGACAGGTAAAAAATATAAAAAATCAGCATTAGGGCAAATAGAAAATTCATTAGAATTAAAAAATTCACTCCCACCCACATCCAAAATTTTGGAAATACTGATGCGAGAATAATTTTATTTTGTTAAATTAATTGATTGATTAATTGATTGATTGCTTGATTGATTGATTAATTCATTTATTTATTTATCTATTTATTTAAACTGCATAAAAACAACTTTGCAAAAATCAAATGCTCACAAAAAAGCAAGTGCTTTCAAATTCAGCAGACTTCAAAACCTTCCAATTGATTAGACCAGACATTGGGATCGCCGAAAAGTTAAAAATGCAAAGCCCATTCTTTAAACTTGTTTACTGTCACTAAAAATAAACAACTAACTGCGGTTTATACATAGACAATACCGCAGTCTGTCCCTAAAGAGACCCATCCAGTGGGCTGGTTGGAACATTGATTCACAACATGAACACTCATGTTGTTCCACACAGGCTCTCGCTGCTAAAAATAACTTGTTAAATAATGCATTACAAGTGGGCAGTCTTCCTTGCGATAGGTGTTTGGTTGGATTGGTTGTTGTTGGGCAAAAACTAACCTACAACATAAAGAATGAAAGTTTAGGCAAAGGCTGGCCCAGCTCAAGGTAAAGACAAAAGCCCAGGCCCCTATATCTATTATAATAACTATAATTAGGGTGTTCCCTTCCATTTGATCTTTGTGTAATGTCTGAATTTTCACCGGAATGTGTCTAGTTTTTGGATAGGCCATTGAATCACACTGCCACTTCAAAAAACAATGTCATGCTCGTTCTGTTCATGCACACGGGAATCGCTGGGTATAATCCCAATCCCTTCCCCACCCAATCCCTCCAAACAAAAACAAAAAACAAAAACTTCCTGCCCTCATCAATTATTTTTTAAAAGAGTGATAATCTAATAATATTTTCTATGTGCCCTTCAACATTTTGATAATAGCATTTTAAATAGAACAAATAACATTTCAAAAATATTTCCTATTATAAAAAGTCGAGCATCAAATTCTAACCTTATAAAATGATTAGAAATGTTCGTAACTATGTTTATTTATATTTTTTATATTATAGACAATGTTGCTATGTGACAGCAGTAACGTTTCAACTGTGGGAACTGCTGTTGTTGTTGGTTACACTGTTTCAAATTACGTGCTGACGGTTATTGGATTTTTTGCCAATTTAATGGTGATTATTGTGTTTATCAACTGCAAGATTCACCGTAGATCATTCACGTATCTCCTGGTACTTCAACAATCCTTTCTCGACATGATAGCATGTTGCCTGTACCTATATTTTTACAATATCCCTGCCTCTAATGGAAATGTTGCCATCTACTGCAAATTTGCAACACTTTTCTTCTTCTTTTTATCTGCCTCAACGCTAAACCTAGCCTTTATTTCTGTTGAGAGGTACATCGCAGTGGTGCACCCGTTGAAGTACTGGATAAGAGGTAACCAGATGCGAAGCAATTTACCACAATTATGTATTCCACTCATAGCTGCATTTCTAGTAACATTTCAGTATGTGTTCATACTTGAAGAAGATCCTGCAGTTCCTGGAACATGTACCTTTTGTTACAAAAACGAAGGCTTCCGGATACTGTCGGGTACAATTCTATTGCTGGCAAATGCGATAGTTCCAATTTGCACAATGATATTCTCCTACTATCACGTATATATCACACTCAAAAAACAAACTAAATTTCGAACAGAATCAACAATTCAACCACAAATAAATATTGAGCCTAGCACTTCATGTAATGTAGCCGATATTGAAATAAACATTTCACCATCGCAAACCAATGACAAAGACAAGGCACATGATGCTCAACAAAATTTCATCATTACTATGTCCATTAACACACTGGTCTATACCATCTGTATTACTCCCCTGATTGTGTTGTATGTTGTTTACACGATATGTGAATGTTTTGATATTCATAATCATATTTCACGTGATATTGCTGTATTTATTGTCGTTTCGAACATGGCAGCTAACCCGTTTGTTTACGCCTACAAACTCAAATACTTTAAAGAAGGATTCTCTAAGACTTTCTGTCGTCAATGACTCTATTTCTATCAGTACCATCATGGAATGAGGCCCAAATCCACCCAACAGTTTGCAGGTTTTCCACATGTTTTAGGCTTCTACTTGTGCGCCAAATAAAAAACAATTTATGAAACTATAAATTTCAGCCTAGCATTGGTTACGATTTTACTTGGTGAAAATGCATCGGGAAACCAAGTGTGGCATTGGTTACGATTTTACAAGTGAAAATGCATCAGGAAACCCTAAAATTAGCTAAGGTTTGAGTAATAAATGGGGAAGGGGTATAGGGAAAGGAAGTGGAAGGGGTGGAATGGGAGGGGAAGAAGGGAAGGAGAGCGGAAATGGGAGTGGTGAAGTGTGGGGTGGGGCTGAGGGCCGAATTTGAAGTTGGAGCTCGATTTAAGTGAGGGGCACTAGCTCGCAAAATAAGTTGATCTAATATCTTTTTATTTTTCACTCTGTAGGATGATAAATACACTAAGTTTTAACATGGAGGAAATAAATAGAAGTTAATTTATTTCCTCATGGTTCTTATTATAAGAGGATGTTTCTTGCAACAGAGGATAAGTTTTAAGCACTATATGATTATGTAAATGCTAAAACCAATTGCCTCCACTGTTTTGTCATCCATCAGTTTCTGAGACTTCAAGGAAAATTACCACAATTTAGAAAACTCACATATTTACACTCCCTGCCTTCATTTCTGTGACATCATATTTATAATTATCTGTAATAATACTTGGATTGTATGGTTTCTACCAATAAGGTTGTCTTAATATTAATGACACCACAAAAAAAAAATAAAAAAATAAAGGCTAAAATTAAGAATAAGATGATGTAGAAATTAAAGAAAAATATTTAAAAATTAAAGATGTAAATAAGTATTCAAAAATTAAAGGTGGAGTTAAGTATTCAAAAATTAAAGGAAATATTCAGAATTAAAGTTGTACAGTACTTGTATTCAGAATCTGAAAATATAGCTAAGTATTCCAAAATTAGAGATGTAGCTAGGTATTCAGAAACTGAAGTTGTAGACAAGTAATCAGAAATTAAAGAAAATATTCAGAAATTAAATTTGTAGCTATTATTCAGAAACTAAATGTAGCTACCGTATTCCAATATTACAAATGTAGCTAAGTATTCCAAAAATTACAGATGTAGCTAACTATTCCAAAATTACAGATGTAGCTAAGTATTCCAAAATTACAGAGGTAGCTACAGTAAGTATTCAGAAATTAAAGATGTAGTTAAGTATTCCAAAATCTTAACCCGACGCTTTTAACAGTAATATGCAAAGAATTGCAAAAATTATTACCAGTAATAATATTAGAAATGTTAATTAGGATGGTGATGATGATGGATTTTAAATACAATTTAGATATTGACATTGTTAAATATGCACAAGGCTTGCAAATAATGTAAATCAACAGGTGAAGATACTGTAGTACTACCAATGAACTGTTAACAAATGATGGTTCTACTATGCTACGTTCTATTTTAAATTTGTTTAAAAGAATGATTTAATTTGAAAAACCACCTAAGAGTTGGAACCTAAGTATTATCCCTATCTTTCAGACAAGTGATAATTTCCTTTCTGTTATTTCACTCTGTATTTTTAAATGACATAACACTGATGGAAAGTTGAGTGCCACCGATGTAAATGGCGAAAGTTAAAGTAAAGTATTAAAGTGTTATTACCTAATATATTGCTTTTGTTTCTCCTAAATTCATAAACAGTGCATCTACTTTACTACTATCTCGAAAAGAAACCCATACTATCTTACAAAGAAACCCCATGGGCTTCCTTTCAAGATGGGCTTCTTTTTGAGAATACTTTTTTTTACTAAAGAGGGGGGTTTCATTTCGAAATGGACTTCTTCTCAAGATCAAGCCCACAGGGCTTCTATTCGAGGTTCAAGTGTATGATCTGCTTTTGCACTCTAACTAGAATATTGTAGTAAGGTCTGGGAAATACAAATTATCCAATAAATAAATCATGGAATATTGTGAACCTAAAATATCAGGTAAGTTTAAAAAAAATGTATATTGGTCAGTATGTATAACGTTTTTAATATATTTGTATGGTTGTATTTAATTTTCTAAATCTGTTATAACTATTAGATAAATGTTATTGCTTCTGTTTTAATCTCTGTGTATCTCTTTTACACTAAGGCCAAGTAAAACTAAATGAGGGTGGCAACATGAAACTAGAGATTAATTTCATAAGTTTTAAAAAAGTATAATAATAATTATAATAGTGTAATAACATTATTGATGAATAAAGTTACCAATACTTTTGTGCATTAGACCATTTTATCTAGTTCATTTTGAAACAGCACCGCCAACGTCTCTTAACTTACTGGGGGACTTCCAGCGGCCTAGCTTGGGCAGCTGGCTAACGTAGATCACCACACAGCGGATAGTGCCGCTAGTCCTTCGCCATAGAAGCAGTAGACAACAGATACGATCTTACTCTTAATTACTGTAATTACTGTACATGTTAAACATTGAAATAGCTTTTTAAGACTTTGACTTGTTTTTAATATAAACATTTCATGTTTTTTCCATTTTAAATTATTTGTGCTCATTAGTAATTTAGTTTTATCGTTGATTTAATCCATGATGGTAGGTACGTAGAGCGAAATGCTAGGCCTCTGAAAGACCCCCAGTGGTAATTGCCAGGTTATCGGAAATTTTCATTTATAATTTTGCGAAAATGGTCTATATCAAAATAATGCTCATTATTTAGTCCTATTGTTTTGTTTGCTAAAGTGTCAACGTAACCAAGTTATGTCAATGACTATCAAATATTCTATTAGCAGAATGGTTAAAATTGATAACTATTCTGACCAAGAATATTGGTTAAAGCCAATATGAAATTCTAAGCATATAAAATGATAGAAATGTTTGCAATAACTAATAATTTATATTATTTTTTCATACTATAGACAATGTTTTCATGTGAGGACAGAAATGTTTCAACCATGAATCCAGCTAGTGTTGGTTATAATGCTTCAACTTACCTTCTGACGGTTATTGGAATTTTTGCAAATTTGACGGTGGTCATTGTGTCTATAAACTGCAAGATTTATCGCAGGTCATTTACGTATCTCCTAGTTTTCCTACAATCTATTTTCGACATGATAGCATGTTTCCTCTATCTATTTTTTAACTATATTTTTTCCCCTAATGGGGAAATTACTGTGGCTCTTTTTCACATACAAGAAAGTCGATGAAACAATACAGTAAGCAACAGGCGAAGTAGCACTTACGTGAGAAATATCAGAGTAACAGAAACAAAAAAAGTGCTATTGAATTGTAATGAGGGTCGGATGGCTGATGGAAAAAAACTATTTTGGTACCTGCTTGTATGAGCATAAATCGAACGATATCTTCTACCACTGGGAAGTAATTCAAAGAGAGAGTTACCAGGGTGTGATCCAAATCATAGCATTAAATATGTCCTCACTATCATCCTCGTTGTGACAGATAATATGAGAGGCATATTTAATGATACGTCTGAGGTCATTTCGGTCAGCCTTGGAGGAACCACAATACCAAACAACAATAGAATATAAAAGAACGCTTTCAATAACGGACTTGTAAAAAACTGACATAATATTTCTACTAACCCAAAAAGATTTAAGTCTCCTCAGGAAGTAGAGTCACTGTTGAGCTTTTTTAATGCACTTAGGTCGTATTTTCTCACCATTTCAGGTCATTAGTTAAATAAATTCCCAAAAACTTCTTCAATTTCCACAGAAGTACCATTGATGGTAAATGGAGTTATTTAGCTAATTTACGCATTCTAAAATCAATGACTTTGGCCTTATAGACGTTTAGCACTAGACCATTTTGGTCGCACAACTTTTAACCATATAACAGTCATTTGTATGCATGACAAGGTCGTCAGTATAAAGTGAATAAAGGAAAAGTGATAACATGCACCCTTGTGGCACGCCCATGCTTAAGGTAATATCTGAAGTAAATTGACCCACTTTAACAGTTTGTGGGCATTTGGTAAGAAATTCAAGGGTCCATTTACATGTATTTGCATTTATACCTAGCTCAAACATCTTATGAAAAAGCCTAGAAGGTATAACTGAATTAAAAGCAGAGCTGAAGTCAATAAACAGCATTCGAACATATCTTTTATCTCTCTCGAGATGTTGCAGCACTCTACGAAGCATGCAGATTACTGCGTCCTCGGTTGACCTGTTTTGACGATATGAGAATTGATGTGGATCAAGACCATGTGGGATTTTGGATTGGAGATGAACAAGTACGAGTCGCTCGAGACATTTCATGATGACGGGAGTTAGCGCAATAGGGCGATAATAATCGTTCATTAACTCTAATGATACTTTTTTCGGAATTGGTATTATGATGGATTTTTTTAACAGTTCGAGAACTTCCTGTGATCTCAACGGCCAGTTGAATATGAGTGTGAATACGCTGCTAAGCTGACTACTGTATGTTTTTAGGAGACGGGAGCTGACTCCATCAGGTCCGGTAGCTTTTACTGCAGTTATGTATTCCTGCATTTCTAGTAACATTTCAGTATGTGTTCATACTTGCCCTATTTATCATTTTAAAAAAAGAAGGGCAAACAAAAACAATTAATTTTTTTAGGCCTAATCATACATTTTCTTGCCTCAGCCTCAATCATGGTGGAGATGAGGTAGTATGGACCCTACATATGTGAAAGCTTCTCCCTGTCTGCCCCTTCCCCCGTCTCTATTTTGAATTCTTGGATCCACCACTGCAGTTCTCCCGGAATTGACTTCTTCCAACTTGGGACCCTGACTATGGTAAGGTCTGAGGAAGAACACCACATTATCCAATACTGCAGTAAAAATAATTAGTTCACAAAAGCCATAAGCTTTAAATCTTTTTACCAAGCAAAGCTTGAACTGGGAGCATCCCAAACCAGTGGTTATTATACCAACTGTTGTACAGTAACAAAAATTCCACCAACACAATCACATCAGAAATTCAAGACAAACACTATCAGAGAAGCTCCATCATCATTACTACAGCTGTCTCTTATACACATCTAGATGTGTATAAGAGACAGATCTTCATCCTTGTAGTTGTCAAGCGTCGGGGGCAGTCGCGTAGTAGAATATTAAACGTGTTTAATATTTCTCACGACGGCTTAAGACTGTCCCCGACGATAAATCGGGTCGGGCTGCGTCGGCCGACGCTGTCTGAGTTGGCCTTTAATCTCAGTGTATCTTGTTTACACTATGGCCAAGTAAAATTTATTGTTAGTTTCATGTCCAGAATTTGAAATGGTTTCTCAGTGAGGGGGTTATAATTTACCATCTGCTATTCTGTCTACAAGCAAAAGATCAGTCAACAATACACTGTTTTTAATAAAAAGCAGCCAAAAATAAAATAAAAATCAGGACCGATACACCTCTTACATTCTTCTTTAGACTCACCAATAACCTTTCGGGTTCAAAAACCGTTTTAAATATTGTTGGTTTCACAAAATACAAAGTAAAAAATTCTATGAAAATAGAAAACTTTCAAATCAAAATTTATCAAAGTAAAGAAAACATGAAAATTTAAATTTAGTCACTTCAAACATGACCCCCCCCCACTTTTTCTGTCATGACATATAATAAGATTTAACAGAAAGAGTGAGACCGACTACAGTTTTACATATTTACGCTAACTAAAGGTTTAATATGTGAATATAAATAAATAATTCAGTACAAACTACATGTCTGGTTTAGCTGTGGTCGCTCAGATTAATTCACTAAATCCAAAGTAAAAAAAATGTTCAAAGAAACTCTAACCTTACATTCCTACTGTAGTATCATACACATTAATAACCACAAGAATTCAAGAACCACAAAACTCTATCCAACCAACACTTCTACACTTACTGGACATTAACACTTTGTGTGTAGATGATTGACAGTGGTGACGGTCAATCATGCATTTTAGTTTAACATATAACATGTTTTTATTTTACTTCTTTGTAAGAACACCAAGAGACCTTGTTGATGAATTATTCATCACAAACTTGAATACCAATGTTTATTTTGCTCCAAAAAAATTTATAGATGGTCAAGCATTTTCCAACAAAAATGCCCAACACCACAATTTTTTTTATAGTTCCTTCACACTGTAAGATAAAATTTTAATCTTTTCAAAAGCATTGGATTTGCTATGCAAAATATTTTAACCGGTGAATCACCAATAGGTCCAGGTTTTTGTAGCAGTGTATATTTTGTAATTAGTTCCTTCATAGCATGAATTTATTAGCTTTAAATATCAAATTAGGAATTGTAAAATTCCAATTTTGCTGCTGCCGTCATAACCATTACTATCATTACTTACTATTTAATTATTATCAGACCAAAAATAATGGTTAAAGTCGAATATGAATGTTTGTAACAAAATAATATTTTTATTTTTACCGTATATGCTATAGATATTGACAATGTTGCCATATGACAACAGCAACGTTTCAACCATGACAAGAGACAATGATATTAGTGTGACTGTTTCAAATTACCTTCTGACGATTATTGGGTTTTTTGCAAATCTAACGGTGATTATTGTGTTTATCAACTGCAAGATTTATCGTAGATCATTCACGTATCTCCTGGTGCTTCAACAATCCTTTCTCGACATGATAGCATGTTGCCTCTATCTATATTATTTCAATTACCCTGCCCCTAACGGAAATATTGCCATCTACTGTAAGTTTACAACGCTTTTCTTCTTCTTTTTATCTGCCTCAACGCTAAACCTTGTCTTCATTTCTATTGAGAGGTACATCGCAGTGGTGCATCCATTGAAGTACTGGATAAGAGGTAAACATAAGCAAAGTTTGTTACCACAGTTATGTATTCCACTTGTAGCTGCATTTCTAGTAACATTTCAGTATGTGTTCATACTTGTGGAAGATCCTGCAGTTCCTGGAAAATGTACCTTTTATTATAAAAACGAAGGCTTTCAGATACTGTCAGGTGCAATTTTATTACTGGCAAATGCGGTAATTCCAATTTGCACTATGACATTTTGCTACTTTCGTGTACATATCACACTGAAGAAACAAACTAAAATTCGAGCAGAGTTAACAATGCAAGCACATACAAATCATGGTAGCGATGAATCAGCTGTTGAGATAAATATTTCACCATCGCAAACCCATCAGAAAGACAAGGCACATGATGCTCAACGAAATTTCATCATTACTATGTCCATTAACACACTGGTGTATACCATCTGTATTTCTCCACTGATTTTGCTGTATGTTGTTTACACGATATGCGAATGTTTCGATTTTATTGATCATGCCTCTCGCGACATTGCCTTATTGATTGCTGTATCTAATATGGCAATTAATCCATTTGTTTATGCCTACAAACTCAAAGACTTTAAAGAAGGATTCGCTAAGACTTTCTGTCGTCAACATTAGAGAGACTGTATTACATGCAAGTATCATCATAAACTGAGGTTAAAAGCCACCCGAAAGTTTGTAGGTTTTATCATGGAGCAATAAACATCATATTTCATGTGATATTGCTGTATTTATTGCAGTTTCAAACATGGAAGGTAACCCGTTTGTTTATGCCTACAAACTCAATGATTATAAAGAAGGATTCTTTAAGACCTTCTGTTGTCAATGTTATACACATATCAATGTTGTAATGCAGGGCTCCCAAGTCTCCTGGATTGTCCTGGAGTCTCCAGGAATTTTGGTTCATCTCCCGGTCTCCTGGAAATTCCTCATTTTCTCCCGGAATTTGAATTTCTTTTGTATTTCTTCAGGATTTTAACAGATTTCACAATTAGGGCTTTTTTAAGCTAAATTTTCCCATTCCTATGCATTAAATCTGGCAGACATAAGACTTATTGAACATTCTAGGCAGCAATATGGTATTAACAGTGACCTAACCCTGCTCAAGCCTGTTTGTTTTTATACTGAACATGGCAATAAAATTTGTACACACGTGTCCTTGTACATGCTTTTTAGCTACTACATGCGTCACAAACCTCTGCCTGTCCAGTTCGACAAAATCTCCAGGAATTTGACTTCCACAACTTGTAACCCTTGGTAAGAATTTAATCATGACAGAGATCTTGTATTGTCTTATACATGTACTGGCCAACACTCCTATTGGAGCCAAACAGTCAGGAAGGTTGAAATAAGAAGATCCCTCTGCACCATCCATGTAACTTTTCTCCAAAATATAGATTTGTTATGAATATTTAATGAACTAATGATTTTGGTATACCAAATAAAAAATGTAAAATATATACAAAATTTACAATAAATTCATTATTTGATGACTCGCAATGTAAGTAGGTATAAGTAGTAAATTAGTTAGCCAAAATAAGGAACTCAGTATTTGTTACAATAAAGATTTGTTTTTTGGCTACATCTTCTTATTCTTTAGCCTTAGACATACTGTACATGATTTGATATATGACTAAGAACTCAGAAACTAAGGATGTATTGCTAAAAAACTTTCAATAGTATATATATATATTTCAAATATATATATTATAGTATACTACAGTTTTATTACTTTAGAATTGAAAAATATTAGTGAAAAAAATTGTTTATGTCAATTAATGGACAAACAAGTTGTAAATGTAAATCCGGCTTGACACTTTGAAAGGAATGACGGGATTGGGAAGAACCGCTTAAGCTTGATTGCTGTAGTATACTGTATCACAATGCAATGCCTTGTACAGTAGTAGAAACAACAATTACAAGTAGTACAAGTTGATTCCAGTATTATTTGTGTTATAACCTTCTACTGTATAGTTGTATTGATGTGGTGCTGCAGAGTGGAGAGTGGATACATGTCTTGCACAATTTGCAAATTGTGCATGCTGTTTCTTACACTTGTTGGGGAGTTGACGGTTAATTGTTGTTAATTGCTCTTTGTATTATCATCGTACAGTGTTAATAATTTATCTTAATAGTTTTTACTGTTTTTTAATGTTTTAATAATATATTTTAATGTTTTAATAATATACCTTTTTACATTTTACTGTATTTTATACAGTTTCAATAATATCATTTTACTGTACTATTTACTGTACTGTTTGGAACATTTTAAAGGTTCAAGTCTGTTTTTAACTATTTATGTTTGATCGCTAGCTTCCAAGGTCACATTTTTTGTTGTATATATTAGACTGAGTAAAATGAATGGAATTGAATTGAATTTGTGGGTTTTATTTTTTATTTGTATTATTATATTTTTTTTGTTTGTAAAAAAGTATTAATAGCATGATGACTTACATTGAGGTATATTCATTTAATCTTCCAGTAAACTGCATACTGTACATTGCTGTACATGGCTGAATTGTGTATAAATTAACAAAATTTAAAAATATAATATATAAAAAATAGAATATGAATTTACAAATAAAGAAAAACACAAAATATGACATCAAAAAAATAATGTAGGAAAAATGAAAAATCTTTGAAAATCAAATCATACAGTACGTAAATATGCGAGACTTCAGGCCTAGCCCTAATTAATATGTATACTTTCAATCACCATAGGAGGGTTGGAGCTTATCCCAAATTTCAAGTAGTGTGAAGCGGATAAGTGTGATGATTCCCCTGGGTGGGATCGAAACCCCGACTTCAAGGTTGGGAAACCAAACCGTTTCCAATGCGCCAAATCACCTCCACTTTGATTATTTACTTAGCTCTTAAATTAATACGCTTCCAATTATTATAAAAGTCCATGATGATTAATTGTGCTCACTTTTTTGCTTTGGCGATGTCCTATTTGAATCTTTATTCCTTAGTAATTATATTAGTATTTATATAGTAATGATAAATCCTATTGCAAATTGTCTGATCACATAAAACATCAGAATTGCTTTCATTCTCTTTTCTTACATTCTTTTAAAAAAAAACCTTATTTAATACCAATTTGTTTTTCTTTTCTGTTTCTTGTATTTATATAATTATATTTATATACATTTTTTTTCCCTAATTTTTTTTTTGTAATTTAATGTACGGTAGTTTACAATCATACCCTGGAAATCAGGAAAGAACAGTGTACTATTAAATAATGAGTACCCAGAATAAAGGAAGATTTCCTAGGTCTGGCCTAGAGGAAGGTCACCCTGAAATCGTAGCCCAGCAGTAGCCCACGGAGAGGTCAGGCCTAGGCTAGGCCTGATGAAACTATCAGACTAATTCCTTAGTAATTATATTAGTATTATATGTAGCAGTGATAAATCCTATCAATTTTTAATCTTATATTTTCAGTTGTACTAGCTACTGACTGTGTCCCACCCACACATGGCCTATATTTTAATATTGCAAATTTTGTGATTATTAAAATAAAACATCAGAATTGCTGTATATCTCCCTAAAAAATACATTATGCTGAATCATACGATAATTGCTGAAATAAATCTTGCCAAGTTTGGATATTGTGCGCACAGTTTTAGACAACTTTGAAACAACAGCAACTCAAATGAGCAAAAGGAACAAACTGCACACAACATACACAGCATATCCTTGCTAATAACAAATATGCCATGGTCATGCTACCACAACATAACATGTTGGCAGCATTAAAGAAAAAATTGTTTAACAATACTTGATTTTTAATAAAGCACTACAAGATTTCTAAACTCAATCACTGAAGAATTACAGTTTTAGTTTAGTTTAGTAATGTAAAAACTTGGGTGAATTTTTGCACTGTAATCAAAATAATGTTAATCATTACAATGTTAATGATTGAGACTCAAAACTTTGGTTTAGTACTAAAATTACCCGAGGCTCAAATTATACACCCGGTCCCATCTAACTTCCTCTAGAATTCAATAAGGTCTATTATTATGTTTCAATTAACAATAAACATCTTTCTAATGAATTGTTGAATGGTCTGCAGCAATGAAAGGAATCCATTAAAAGATGACAGACTACCTGATCACTGACAGAGAGTCATGGAAATGTTTAACGTATGTAATGTTTGCCCATGATGAAAGAACGTAGCAGATGATGATGATGATGATGATGTTGAATTGTTACTTCTTATTACAAAATCAATACAAAGTACAGTATACATTGTAAAGTCTGTGAGGCATCTTTCTTAGTAGTCAATTGTGCTGGTTAGTAAATATGGCAGGTCGTGGGCTTAATTCCCACCTGAATCACTTGCAAATTTTTTTTCGCAAATTTGGGAACGTACTGAGTATTTGGTAAAATAACACGTCAGGTAGGGTCAAACATAATTCCTATGATATTTTCCTGATGCAAACTCACATCAAAATAGCATATCAATTGCAGTAACTGCTCCTTGCGAGGGGATCGGATTCAACACTAGTCACTAAGTAGTCTACAGTCGTGGTTATAGTGTACTGACGTACAGAGTATTTGGTACGATATAACATATCAGGTAGCGTAAAACATCAATCCTATATTTTCCCGATCCAAACTCACGGTTAAATAACATTTTTTTGGCTTATATCCTTTAATCTTTTCATTCGCAAGTAAATAAGGCACTTTTTTCTTAAATTAATAAAATATATGATATTGAAATTTTGTTTAAAGTAAACCAAAACTTTAAGTAAAATTTGTATGAATTTGCACAGAAAATTGCCAGGAAAATAGGTGCGCAGAGCAGTAACTACTGCATATTATTATTATTATTATAAGATGCCAAGACCCAATTTTCGGCAAAATCTGCGTGGAACTCAGCTCATGTTTATGAAATGTGCGTACAGATTTCTAGGCCAAATTTGTTAATGGAAGATATATTCCCGGCATAGGCCTAGACCTTATTTATTATTTTACAGTTTCTACAGGCTCCTATCTAAAAAAGGCCCTATCCTAGGCCCCTAGGACTAATAATACAAACGAGGCTGGCCTAGTATAGTATGCTAGTTAGTAGTATAGTAGTAGTAGTAGTAGTAGTAGCACTATCTAGCCAGGCCTCCCTAAGGCCTAGGCTAGGTCTTACTTTTTAGTCTAGGCCTAGGCTACGCCTAGCCATCATTTTAGTATTGTAGGCCTAACCCATAGGCCCACTAGGCCTAGATAGCCTAGGTGTAGGGCCTTGCTTGGCCGCCGCTTAGCCTTAGCCTAGTACTAGTAGAAGTAGTAAAGTAGGTCCTGGCCTAGCCTAGAGAGAGAGGCGGCGAAGCCTGGTTAAATTCGTTGGATTTTCAAAATTAGAAACCAATGTTGTTTGCGTTAATCAGTTGCATGGTATTTTAAATACTTACACCGCAAATAAGCGATCCAATAGTCCTAGTGTCAGATCCTTCGTAGTCTACTCAACGAATCAAACTCGTACATAGGGCGCTGACATGTTGGATGAAACGTGTCCTTGCAAATATTTCAATAAATTATTGGAGTAATATATTGCTCATTTAATATACCATTAATATTGGTTCGTCATTTTTATTGAAGTACAAATACTAATTATATGAATTAATATTATGCTACTTTAATGTCCATTTATAATGACAAATATTCTTTAAAAAACAACATTTTAGACATGCCTAACCTACGCTAGGCCTAGCATGCAAGTATCTCTGTTTACAAAAACTGTGTCATTCTGGCATGGGGATGCCGCTAAAAGCATGCTTGACACTTTAGCGTAGGGCTTATGGTTGGTAATTCGTGGCAACGTTTATCAGGTTGCGTTCCTAATTTTACATTTGTTTATATTGTAAATTAGATTATGAATGAATTTTAGGTTTAGGCCTGGATGGGAGACCTGTGTATGTACAGTTAGTAGAGTAGTCTAGTACTGACTAGCTAGGGGCTAGGCCTAGTTACTAGGCTAGTAGAGTAGTAGGCCTAGGCATAGTACTAGTTAGGAGGGCCTACTACTACTACTTGGCCTAGGTAAAAGGCTTACTAGGTTTAGGCCCAGGCCTAAATTGTAGCAGTAGCAGGGATTACAACACCCTGATGATAGTAGTAGTAGGCCTGTCGGGTGTCACCCGATATTTAAACAAATCTCCAGTTCTCCCAATCGAATGTAATTTTCACCCGATTTCACAGGCAACCCCCTCCTAAAAAATACTCCGATTTATGCATAATTTGATTAATTTGATTGTTATTATTCAATGTATTTGCCGCATGCTCGCTTCGCGGTGCAATAGACAAACAGCCACCAACGGCCAATGATTTGTAGTGACGTGACTTTTTTGGTATCTTGCATCATCTTTTGGTTAATTCTGGAAACCTCCAGATTTTTTTTATAAATCTCCAGATTTTTTTAAGATTCTTAAAAAAAACCTCCAGATTTTCATAACCCAAGTGTTGGCAGGTCTGTGTATCGATAAAAGGTTTGAGCGGATGCAAGTTCGAGCTAATGTGTTTAGTGCGAACTATACACCTGCTGTACCTGCCAACTCTCACGCAATGCACGAGTCTCACACATGAGCATTCACTTTTTGCATCTCACGCCTATGTTTTATCTCGCGCATCATGAAAGTGTTATTTATAAAATGTATAGGCCAATTTATACCCTAAAATTCATTAAAATAATGTGAATTCGTCATTAAAGTGTAAATACAGGCCTTATGAATTTATCTTAAAAAAGTTTACCAACCGACGAATATTCAGTAGTGAAGTTCGATCACTAGAATTAAGAAAAAAGAACAGAGGGTGCTCTATTTTGTGATTTTTTTACCTAGAGGGCACTATATACACATTTCATTTTTTTTTGTCTCGCGCATCAGATACCAGCGAAGTTGGCAGGTATATAACTACACCAAGCGCAAATTCACCCAAAACATAAATTATTTATTTATTTTTTTGAATGCCAAAATGCACTGTGAACCAAGGTTTTGAAAGTTTTTGCTACTTTTATTTAATTATTTCATGTTTGAATTAACCATGACAAATTTAACCACGGTTTTCAGTTTGTTTAAACTATGGTTTTGTAGTAAAATAAAAAACAAATTATAATTTATAATCATAATAGGTATGACTGTAATAACTAATTGAATTTCATCTGATACTGTACAATTTGTAAATTTATGTATGTATTTGTAAATCGATGATTAAATGAGGGTGTGCTAGCTTATAGAATATGAAATAATAAAAAAATTATTAACATTAAATTTAAATTAACATTAAAATAATTATATTTTTCGCTAATAAATTTATGAGTAAATCCTATATATTTAGTATATTTTAAGTCTCACATAAATATTATATATTATTATTTAAATATCTTGTTTTTTTTTTAAACAAGTCAGCCTAAGTAAAAGATGACTCGGTTTGCTAGAGGTGGAACTGCCAATAAAAAGAAACCGGAGCAGGCAGCATCTTGGAAGGATCTTAAAAAGGATTTGAAAGCACTTCCTGTTGGCCTGCGTAGGACAAATAGAGACAATGGACCACTTAACAGGGTCAAATCCAGAGATAGCAATTACAAGTTACAACCTAGAAAATTCAAACAACAGATGCTTATTCCAGAAGGATTCGAGAAGATCAAGGGTCGATTTGATGATGACATGAAGAAGCCAACACTTGTGGAAAGTATAAAGGAGTTAGATGAAAAATTGAAGGAGGAACAGAAGAAATTAAATGAAGCAAGAAAATTAGGAGATGAAGAAGGGAAGAAAGACAAGAGGAGAGAAGTTAGGAGACTAAAAAGGAAGAAAGCCAAAACAAGTAAAATGGTAAGATTACTGTAATAGACAAGAAAGTAACTATTGGCAGTAATGGACCTTTCTGGAGGGTTAATCAAATTAAACTTACTGACCAATAAGAACAGGGCTAGTAATACACACTTGGCCCACAAAAACACATGTTGTCCACAAACACGCATACGTATCTGCTGTCGTTTTTTTGTTGGATCTCAAAATATCAATATCCAAGAGGTGGGCCATATCGAAAAGGTCCATAAAGTACCACAGTTGTGTCGTCACAACACCAGGTGGCGCCCTTCTGGACATTGGTTATCGTTCATTACGCCTAAATGACTTCATAATCTTAATGGCTTAGAATAGGCTTTCTGGAATAGGCATTTTAAAACCCTATTAATAATTTACCATCAAAATGTACTAAAAACACAAAAAGCTTGCATTATATTGGCTATTGAACACACATTTAATCATTAATTAACATTTACGAAGACAAATTAAGATACAACTTCTTAATAATTACGTTAGAAATTGGGATCAGTGGTTTTTCAGTGGAAAAAAATGGCATCGGTTGAACGCCTTTTGTGCCGCCGATAACAATAGAGTAGTATAACACATAACACTGTAGTACTCTATTACAAACCCAAATCATCGTTACATAATTGCTATATTTTCTTTTGTGTGTATCAGGTTTGTTTTCATTGTCGTGAAACTGGGCATGGTGTTGCAGACTGCCCTCAAGTTACAGAAGAGCAAGACGAGGGAGTAGGAATGTGCTTCCGATGCGGTTCAACTGAACATGACATAAGCAGATGCAAAGCTAAAGTGAATCCTCTCAAAGGTACTAATTTTTCAAGTCAGCAGTCATATGTTTGTTTCTAATGATTATGGCAGAATATAATGTTGCATCTGAACATTAGAATGAGTTTAAAGATTGACTGTTCCATTCAACAAGGTGGTGGTGGAAGTGTCAATCTTTGAACGAATGAAAATATTCTTTCCATTGCACGAGTAAAAAACATTCATTATTTGTTTTATAACACCTAAAATAGATTCTTGTCATTTGATATTTTATGAAAAAAAATCAACCCTTTTTCTGAATGGAGATTCTTCCTGATGATAACATAATTAATGTCGAAATATTGAATCTCGACACATAGGTGTGCATTTCGATACTTGGAGTATGAATTATACCATCTTATCGGAGATTCTTGTAATTTGATATTTTATGAAAGAAAATCTACCTTTTCAGTCCAGCATCTTTTTAACCAATCAAAAGATTGTATTAGGTTGAAGTCATGTCATATCCTAGGCGCCGTGCAATGGATGTCATTTTATAGATTTAATCTTCCGGAAAAATTCTTTGTTTCCTAGGCACCTGGCGTGCAATGGACAAAAATGGATAGAAGTGAATATATATGGTGGAACTAAATTTCTATGAGGAGTGACGAAATTGGGTTAATAACCCATGTCGCGTGATACGAAATCCACCAATCAAATGATTTAGGTGTGTTTATAAAAAAGGATATTTATTTATCGTAAATAAAGGCAGTACTGTTAATTACAAACCCTTAAAATCAGTTACAAGGAATGATACATTTTCAGATTAGACAATAATAGCAAGAGTAAAAGGGCTAATTACAAACCCATAAATCAGTTACAAGAATCATACATTTTCAAATTATACAATAATAGCAATAGTAAAAGGGCCAATAAAATTATATATATTAAAATGTTCTTATTAAAATAGTTTTAATGTAAAACAAAAAAAAGGAGCATAAATTCAACAAAGAAAAATCCAATAATTTCAACAATTTTGGAGAACACAGTGCATTAGCTGAAATTCTGTTGACTGCTCATCATGCATATCGTGTCCTCATGTTTGTATTCTCATTAAAGTTTTATTTTATTGATTATGTGATTTGATGTATTCATATTTGTATTACTCATATTTGTATGGCAGCTTCATATAATAAAGTATGTAAAATTTTTAGGGATATTAGTTTAATCCATGTATGTATTTTTATCACATTGGTTTTTCTTGAAGGTGAAGTACCATTTGCCAAGTGCTTCATATGCGAGGAAATGGGTCACCTGGCTAAGTCATGTCCTGACAACCCCAAAGGCCTGTACCCCCTAGGTGGGGGATGCAAGACATGTGGATCAGTGGAGCATAGATGGTGGAACTGTTCCAGTGTGAAAGACAAAGGTAAATACTTCTGGATTGTCCCCACAGTATATTATCCTTGGTGTGTATTGAAAAAAAATCCAATCTGATGCAACATTTGTACTTCAACATCCATGTCAATCAGTTGTATAACATTTATATACATATACTTTTAATAGATTTAGAAACTGCCAAGCCATGGACCATTTCAACTATAGACCCTTTGATGAGTGCAGATGCTGTAGATGGACTGCAAATTCAAAAGCCTCGCAAGAAAAAGAAAACTGGGCCAAAAATTGTCACATTCTGAACTCAATTGGATGGTAATTCAGAAGGAAATGTAGGAAAAGCTTGAACTGTGGTTAAGAATGAAGATGGTCGTAGTCGTGGGCCACAATGTACACAAATTGATAGTTGTCATTGCAAACACAATCGGTGGAGAAATGACATGTGATGAAGAGGGTTTGCTATACATTTTAGAAAGTGTATGCTAAACTTAAAGCGGTTAGCAGAAGTGTCAAATTTGTCATCATGGATGTTTGCATGCAAATTTATACTGTATCCCATTGCTTTGCAAGGGACATGAATTGAGCTAGTAGAAAAAAAAAACCTTTTACATTATGTGTTATATAACCTTGTTAATGACATTGTAATTTAACAGATATACATCTTCCTTTTAATTTACGAAATGCCCCATATTTTCTACATGTGTTAAATCTACCTAATTTGTGGAGTGGCACAATGGTCATTTGAAGCCGGATAGGCACTAACAATCAGCCAACGCGATTCCATGGAGACACAGATGTGATAACTATCAGCAGAAAACGTAAACCACTCCCACATATCCAAGATGGATTCATAAGCCAGCAATAATGCTATAAGTTTTTCAGCTATTTGGCTGCAATAAGGCAGGAGCACTGCTACAGCCTTAACAATCGGCGCTGGTTGTAGCTGCTCCTCGCCCATAATAAGGTTGGTAGAACCAAGTCTTCTCGGATAGGGACTTTAAAATGGAGATCCATTGTATTGTAGCTACCATGAAGCGTCTCTTTACAGCTGCTAGGTAGTCACAGACCACGGCCTTACCTTTACCATGCTTTTAATTTTTGTGCCCCAAGTTCTAGGCTTGCATCACTGAAGTACAGAAACAGAAGAATATAGGTTTACAAATTTATTTTGTAATTTAATAAACATTTAAGAGATTTCTTAAGTCGTTTGTACACATGTTTCTGGTTTCATTGATTTTCCCTCTTAATGTTCATACTATACACATTTTTATTATACACCAAGACAACACTGAATAAATGATTTCAATATTTATAAGGCTTACAATATAATAAATCCAAGACACAGAATAAATGTCAGGAATTTATCCATTTCTCAACATTAAGCATGACTATCAACTTAAGGAACATATATTTTAATGACTGAATCTTCTATCAGTGAGTTAATTCTTTGTTAAATCCTTAAAATGATTGTATAGTGTTTTAATGAAAACAATTTGGAATGAACACAGCATAAAGTAATATGTTTTTAATAATAGACTGATTGACATAATTTCACTTATCTAATTATTTTACATCACTAAAGTTAATGATTTTCTTTAGCAATTTAATGGGTTAATAATACAGTAATAACATTTGGTCTTGAAATATTGTGATGTTATACAATATTATTTGCAGCTGTAAAGAAAATTATAAACTATCAAATTTTCTTTGACATGCCTAAATATGGTCATGAAGGTCTATATATGGGCATACAACAATTTTTTGTCAGAGTCTCAACAGGACTTTAACCTCTAACCACACTATCTTGATATGACTTCAACATGCCCATATATAGATGTGTTGTGACATCATCATGCAGTTCAAATGAATTCATCACCTGAAATTTAGTATGGACATATTATCACATACTGCACATTAACTATCGAAACAGTCATGATACAACAAATGTTGGCAAATTAAATACGCAATCAAATATTTAATATTTTGTAATTCTAAAAACAAAGCTGGTGTTTTTTTCAACAATAAAAACACCAATTCACAGACTTTTGTAAAGTATTTATGCTCAGTTATTATATGAGAACCAAAATATTTTAATAATAAACAATATACAGACAGGATAGGATTTTATATTGATGCCAGCACCACATCACTTATTTAAACTAATTGTACAAAACTAAGCATCAAGCCTGAAAATTACTATGAAAAACAGTTATATTTTATGAAAAAATAACATGTAAATATAGCATCACTTGAATACACTATAAGCAGAACAAAAAAATATACTATTATATCTTAAATTAGTTAGCAGGATTGATTTACTGTTCTACAATCAGTGGTGTATCTAGAAGTGCACCCCCCCCCCTCTCTTCCTTAAAAAAAAAACACCATACTCAAGTAGTCAAAATCAAATCATCTTATTTTTTGAGCTAGCTCCCTCACCTAATCATCGAGGCCCT